TTGCCCAGGAGCCTTAGCGAGGAACTTGAAAGTGCCTTCAAGTTGTCGCAATGCTGAGGTCAAGCACTAAGGCAAAGAAATGTGTTCCTCGCCTCTTTAACATTTGCGTAGCTTTTCTACTTCCCACAGTGCCCTAGAGGTGGTGAAATTGGGCAATGCTTTCTTGCTTCAACTGCCTGAGAGTTGTTGGACTAGGTCACAGATAGGCAACCTTGGCTGGCTTAGGAATTCTGGGAGTTGAAGTCCATAAGTCATAAAAGAGCCAAGGTTGCCTACCCCTGGACTGGGTCATTGACTGAGGACTTCTGAAAGAATAGTTCATTTTTTCTCATCTACCCGTATATTCCGGCGTATAAGACGACTTTCTAAACCCTGAAAATCTTCTCAAAAGTCAGGGGTCGTCTTATACGCCGGAATATACAGTATTTATTTAATAGTGTATTTCAGTTTTACGATTCTATTAACAATTCTATTTGAATTTTGGCTTGAGCCAAGTGACACATTTCAGGGTACCTAGGGCTCACATCTTTATAACCAATGGTATGTTTTGTTTTGGTCTCCTGTCTGTTTCTGTGTATTACACTGTGCATTACACTGAATAATCATTGATTAGTTTGATTTGAAACACCATAAATCAGACATGTCAAACACAAGGCCCAGGGGCCGGATGCGGCCCACGAAGTGGTTTCATGTGGCCCATAAAGTCATCCTGGAAACAGTGAGGGAACGGACCCCACTGCCTTGGCCCTGGCCCAGGCCTGCCGGGAGGGAGCCAACGTACAATTTTGTGGTGGCCATCTATGCTGAAACGCATTCAGTCTTAGCTCCACAAGGCCATCTGGAAACAGCGAGGAACCAGCATCTGCTGCACCGGCCCCACCCACTGGGTGCATGCTGGGGAGGTGTCACCCTTTGTGAGAAATGAAGAAATGCACCATCGCCTGGAAGTGGCCAGCAAATGGCCCTCGCCTACTTCACATATCCGGCTTGATGGGCTCCAGGGGAGGGGTTTCGGCAGGCAGCGGTCGAGAGACTGAGCCGGGTGGTGCGAAACTGATGAGAAGTCCAATGCTGCCTAGCTCCCAGCCTGCCCAGTTTCAGCAGGAAGCAAGGTGCAAAGCTGGCAAGCTTCGCACCGCCCTGCTCAACCTCTCGGCACTGTGAGAAAAGCGCCTCACTGCCTGCCAAGACCAGGCAGGCTGGAGGCTGGGCAGTGTCACGCTTCTTTTTAGATTCGCGCTGCCTGGCTCAGCCTCTCATTGCTGGGAGAACACCTAACTCCCTGCTGAAACAGGGCAGGCTGGGGGCTGGGCGGCATTGCGCAGGTAACATTGACTCTCACGCTGCTCATGGCATTCCCTTCCCCAGAGCCCACCAAGCCAGATATGTGAAGTAGGTGAGGGCCATGTGCTGGCCACTTCCAGGCGATCTCACGAAGGGTGACCCCTCCCCAGCTGCGTTTCTTGCCTGTTTTTCTCCCTCATCTCAAATATTTTCCCACCACTCTGTACTTAGGAAGGAAGAAAGGAAAGCAGAGGGTCTGAGGGAAGTCCTGCCTTAGTCCTGCCGTGCTGCCATTTCACCCTCCCCTTGCCCCCTCCTCCTGGCCTATCCTGGGGGTCTCCCATCCTGTTGCTAAGGAAGCTTTGGATACAAAGCCAGGTCTCCTCCCATGGAGGAGACCTGGCTTTGCCCTCGTACCCATCATGAGCAACCTGGCTAACGAGAGCAAGCACAGCAGCAGCAGCAGCCTTGAGGAGGAGGTAAGTGCAGCTGGGTGCCCCCTTGGGGAAGTGGGGCTGGGATTGGCACCGCAGGTGCTTGAGGGTCAGGCTGGGCATTTGACCTCTGCTGCCCAGGGTTCCAGGCAGCCCGCACCACCATCCAGCCGCCCCACATGGCCTGAGAGGAATGGTGAGGCTCCTCCAGTGGACCATGCCTTGGGCCTTGCCCCGGGTCGCACCCCGTTCTGCCAGAGACCCTCAGATCTATCCCACTCCTGCCCAGGCCCCCACAGGCACTCTTGATGCGAACGATGTAGAGCTGGCCATGCCCAGTAGGCCACACCCACTCCATCCAGGCCCACCCAGTAGGCCGCACTCACCCTGGCCACACCCACCCAGCCCCTGAGGGCAACTGCTGATGCGGCCCTCAATGAAATTGAGTTTGACACCCCTGCCATAAATGTCAAAACTGACTCGCTCCATAGTTTCCTGCACTTGATTTTGGCTCCATACAAAAACAGGAGGGCAGTTGCTGACTTCCTAGGGCAGTGGTTCTCAACCTTTTTAATGCCGCGACCCCAACCGGTCGTAAGTCGAGGACTAAACCGGTCGTAAGTCGAGGACTAAACCGGTCGTACGTTGAGGACTACCCAACCGGTCGCAATTCGAGGACTTTCCCTGCCCGGGAGCGCCGCGCATGTGTGGTTCCGCCCCCTTCGCCGGCCGAGGCGTAGCTGGCAAGCGGCAGAGACGGAGCAGGCCGACCACCAGCTGGCCCAGCCCAAGGGAGGTAAGGCACCCGCTGGAAAAGGGGGAAAAAATGGCGGACAAAAAAAATGGCGGACAGCCTTGCTTGGCGACCCCCGTGAAATGGTCGATCGACCCAAATGGGGTCCCGACCCACAGGTTGAGAACCATTGTCCTAGGGTGAGGAATGCATCATGAGACCTTATTCACCAAGGTCAAGTTATGAGATATGCTCAGATAGCACAGACCTGATTTCTCAAAACAAAAGAACTGAACTCAATTGGTGAACTATGAACTGTGGGTGGCCCAGAGGAGGGGGGGAAGGGGGTTTTACCTATGTGGGTTTTTATGGGAAAATCCCAGAACTGACTCTGCTTCCACTGTGCCTAGATTGATCTTTTAGTAAAAGTTTTACTCTTGGTACTTTTAAAGAGCTGGGAGTTCCTTTTGTTGAAATGTGCCAAATGGGATGGTTGACAATAAAACTAATAATGTTACTCTAAAATAGAAATAAAATCTCATATTGGCAGAATAAAATAAGGTAAAAATAAATTTATTGACATAAAATTGCAAAGGAAGAAACTAAAATCCATGAGACACCTATAAAATTAGTCTTACAATCAGTAATCCGATTGTTGTAGATAATAATTTTGTTTGATTAGGGCACTTTGTGTGGAACTCGCTATTAAAAGTTTGATTTTGCTTGACAGCAAGGTTGATATTCTTGTCCACACACAAATCTATGTTACATGCACTGATAGCCCTATAATTTTTAGATTGCCGGGGACAGGGATGTTCTGGATCAATTAACTCATTGTCCCCATTGTTTAGTTTAAATATTCTTCTAGAAAAATCTGTGAATTTATTGCTGAGTAACTCAGTCCCTTTCTTTGATGGATGCAAGCCATTTTTTCTACATTTTTTCATTGGACCAGCTACAGACATTGTGACTAATATAACCAAAGCTTTCCCCTTTACACCACTCCTTTAGCCACATATTGAATTCTGCTATACGCTGGCCTTTTCCATTTTGACCCTTATACACTGGTAAAACCTCTGAAAAAGTAGGCCGACAGCCTATCCTGCTAAGTTCCTGCCCCAAGCTCTGGAAACCATTCTGCACAGAGAGTAATTCTTTTGGGGACAGATCGTTAGTGCCAAAATGTACAATAGCATCCACATCACACTCCTTGCTGGCATTCTTCACTATCTTAAAAATATGCTTCTTGTCCCTACTGGCAGTAGCATTAGATAAATATAAAAAGTAGATAAGTAGATATATAAAAAGACAGAAACAGTACTAGGATTTGAAAAAAAAAAAAAAGCCTAGGATGCTGTAAATCTTACATTGAGTCTAATATTTGCTGAAGCCCTGTTAGAGTTTGTTGGGATTATGATTATTGTGTACATTTAAAAAGAAACAGAAAAAAGAAAGAAAAAAAGGGAAAGAAAACAGAATATGTTGAATTGCGGGAACCTACACACTCATTGATTGCAACTAAACATTAAAGAAACAAGCAGGATACATAAATGGGAAGGAGAGCTGTGACCGGACATCTAAAACCCATGATTTATGGGTTTAGCCGTGTAAGATAAGGTATCCTTAATATTGATACACTTGAACACATAACACTAAAGCCTATAAAGCTCCCACAGGACACCTCATTTTTTAGATTGATTTGACTGACCCATTCTTTCCATTTCCAAGGCTACACAACCGCAAGCAACTCAGTGTGGCATCCAAGGAAGGTGTAGTAGCCAAAAAGCTAAGGAACCTCTGTTTTAAAGGCTTTCAGGGACTACAGCTTAGCAAATTGGGATTTTTACAAATGTTTGCCTATGGAGGTCCCCTCTTTTAGGGGAGTGACAGGGAGTTGCCTTCGTATAAACAGAAAGAGGGCAGAAGGGTCTCTCCAATCAAGGAAGCGTCTGAGAATGTATAAAGCAGAGCTGCGGTCCTGGCATTAAAAGAGCTGACTTGTCCTCCTTCGCAGTTGAGAGAGATGCGGATCCTCGTGGGCTTCTCGGTCAGGACCAGGTCAGAGTGAACTGACGAAGAGATGGCCATGTATTCCTTTTCCCATTTATAAACCTGCCAGTGTCTGGCCTGCTCATCAAGATTCGTTACGTTCACTGGCATGTTGGTAACCCCTGTACGCCATTCTTTTGTATTCCTTACAATAACTTCCCAGAAATGTCTCCCTGTTGAGAACATCTGACAGCCAAGGACATATGGACGACGTTCAAATCTCTTGCTGTTTGGGAAAGGATATATTTGTTCAACTGGATTAATTCCTCTGATGCTTTTTCCATCTTCGGGGATGTAAAGGAGGCCAGGATGGGCTGTGCATCGATCCAGAATTACATTCACTGCAAGTGGGAAAAGAAGGAAAGAAGGAAGAACAAGAGCTTAGGCTGCAGGCCTGGTTTGTGTCTTGACCCCCAATATATCAACCCTACGGCCTCCACTCTGAAAGGAGTTCAGCTTCCAAGTGTCAACGCTGCAAATACTGTATATTCTTGCTTTGACAATATGCAGAACTGTCTGGTATTTTTATAGTTAAATCAGGCAACAGTGAAAGGGGAGGAGAA